GAAATTGTTAGAAGGACTATAACAGTTGAAGTTCAAGCTAGGAATTTTAGCTATTATACAGTAATCAAGAAATACATTTAGGTATTTATAGACTTTGGGTAGAGGTTTCCCTGGTGGCCCAGTCAGTAAGGAATCCACATGCAATACAGGAGACTCAGGTTTGATCCTGGGTCAGGAAGATCTCCTGGAGAAGGAAATGGCAACCTGTTCCAATATTCTTGCCTGGGAAAATTCCATGGACAGAGGAGTCTGGCAGACTTTTATATTTTTCATAAAAAGTATGTGTTTCATTCTTACTTTGTTTACTTAATGTCACCTGTTTTAATAAACTTTTTTCCCACCACTATAACAATAGAACTTCATAATTATAAATCTCTGTATGAGTTTGAGCAAAACGTTGTAGTCTAGAATTCCAGAGGTTGATAAATCTCGATGGAACCTGTTGTTACTTTACTGACATCTGGTGGCCATGTAGCTTAATTGCAGGAATATTTTTTAGTACGGCAAGTGAAATGTGAAGCTTGACCTTCACATCATGGAGTAATATTTGCAAGTAATATCTGTAGTAATATTGGCCTTTTAATTTTCTCAGTCTTCTATTTGTTACTCACTTTTTCATATTTAATATCATTTTCTGGACCCCATCTTTCTCGTTTCCCCTTTTTCTCAGACACATTTATTTGTGGTTTATTTATTTATTTATATCCAATGTACCCAGTACATTTCTGAAGGGAAAAGTCAAAGAAAACACTAGGCCTGCCAGAGTCCTGTATCCAGGATTTCAGAGCTTCCCAAACTCATGTAGGAAGAGATCTACCAGGACTTCCACTAATTCATTTATCTAACATCTACACAGGTCCCACCGTGTCCAAGGATGATATCAGGTGCTGAGAATTTTGAAACAGAAACTGCCATACTTTCCTTCATGGACTTTACTACCTTAGAGGGAATAAAGTTAATAACTGCTGTATAGTAAGATAGGGTATAATAGGTCACCCTGGAGCATTCCAAATGCTCAAATCCTACAGACATTTCAGAATCACTTTCAACTGAGAATGAAGCTCTTAGGAACAACCTGTGGTGTGTTACATAGAGGAACCCATTCTATACTTGCCTATTTTATCTTAGTTTTACATACATTCAGTATAGGGATTGTTGTGTTGTGTGTTAGTCGCTCAGTCATGTCTGACTCTTTGCGACCCCATGGACTGTAGCCCACCATGCTCCTCAGTCTACAGAATTCTCCAGACAAGAATATTGGAGTGGATTGCTATTCCCTTCTCCAGGGAATCTTCCTGACCCAGGGATCAAACCAAAGTCTCCTGCATTAAAGGCAAATTCTTTACGATCTGAGCCACCAGGGAAGTCCTAATATGGTGATTGAAAAATAATATATGTAAAGTGCTTAGGTCATTGCCTGAAAATCAGGAAGCACTTGAAATATTAGCTAATGCCATTCCTTCACTTGTGTATTCCACTAGACTCTCTATGGCCAGGCACCATAATGACAGTTGGGGATACTTAAATTAAAAGACAGCTCCTGGCTTTAAGGAGTTTGTGAGACTAGTGGAGGGAATAAATATGAAATGAAAGAAATAATTTCAATGCATGTGGTCATTGTCAGATTAGCAGATAGAAGTAGGAGAGGGAGAATTAAGTTATTCTGGGTAACCATGCATAGCTAACCTTTGAACTGAACTACCAAATATAAACCAGATTTGCCCAGGATACCAAGAAGAAGGACATTCTATTAGAAGGTTCATTATGAGCAAAACCATGAGGTGCAAGAGCACATGACCTATTCAGTAGTTCAGGATTACGCAAGCATAAAGTGCTAGGAAAGAGAAGTTGGGATGAGACTAGAAAGGTAATGAGATCCATCAGGAAAGGCCTTATAGAACATACCAAAGAAATTAGAATTTTTATGGTAGCCCCGGAGTGGCTCAGACTGGTGGCCTGGGGGCTTCACGGCCAAGAGATGTTGTGTTTGGTTTGTATAGGGTTTTGAAAGACCCCATACCTAGACAGGTCACAGGGCCAACAGCTGAATGCATATGGTTGTACTAAAGGTCCATACCCCGAGTCTGTGTTGCCTGTGGGTGTCTGTGTTGAAAGCCCAGTTCTACCTGATGGATGATAGAAAACCATCCATCCATGATAGAAAACCATGGAGAGTTTTGAGCAGGGGCACAGCATGATTACCTCTGTGTCTCTCTAATGGTAATCTGGTTCATGAGATAGGAGAACTAAGACTTAGTGATGAAGACCAGTAAGAGACAGTTGGAATAGTGCAGACGGGAGAGCCTGAAAAAGGGCAGCAGCAGAGGGCATGCAAGTAAGATTAATTTAAGAAAGAGAAGAAGAATTTAAGAAAGAGAAGAATTAATTTATTAATTCTTTATAATAAGAAAGAGAAGAGCAGGACCCAATAAGCAATTGTTTATGGGTTTGTTTTGTTTGATTGGTTGGTGTTTTGGTAGTGGGTGGGGGTGGTGAACAAGAGGAAGGAGTCTAGAATCACTCCCAGGTTTTTAGCTTGGGCAGTTCAGTAGGTGGTGGATGGAGGTACCATTCCTAGAGGTCCCACAGGATGTGAGGGCAGGTCAGGGAGCCAGGTCAAGTGTTAGGTCTGGACAGGTAACATTTAAGGATTATTGTGGACATTCTGACAAGGATGGTAGTTGGGATGGATCACAGACCAGTAACAAGTTATGGAGGTAAAATAGGATGTGGAAAGGTTCTCAGGCACCAAAGATATATCTATCTCTTATGACTCACAGAAGAGAGATCCTCAAGCTTGAAGTCAGAATAAGAATCCACTAGCTCTCCCACTGCTGATCCAAAGAGTTCTAAAAAGAACAATAGTGATAAGAATAGTAAAAGTAATACAGTGAAAGTGTTAGTCATTCAGTCATGTCCGAGTCTTTGCAACTCCATGGACTATAGCCCACCAGGCTCCTCTATCCCTGGGATTTTCCAGGCAAGAATACTGGAGTGGGTTGCCATTCCCTTCTCCAGGGCATCGAACCCAGGTCTCCTGCATTGCAGGCAGATTCGTTAGCATCTGAGCCACAAGGGACGCTCAACAGTAATATAGTAGTTGTCTTTAATGAAATTCTAGTTATGTGTGACGGCCTGAATTGTTTCATATATTCCTCATAACAACCTTATATAATAGTGTGCTTATTTTCTCCATCTCACAGATGTGAAAACTGAGATGTAGAGAAGTTAAATAGCTGGCCCAGATCACACAGTGAGTGAAGGGGTAGAGCTGGAACCTGTCTTCGTGCTGGCTACCACTCATGATTCTGACAACTTAAGCAGGCAGTGAAATAGAAGGCTAACAGGGAGGCTGGTTTCTTTCTATAAATGTCTACCCTTTCTGCCAGTCTGCACAAGTGCCTGAAGTTTTAATTTCAGAAATATATTTCTTAGGGTCTAACTGGTTCATGAGGAAAATTTTCTCAAATCTTTTTATTCAACTCTGAGAGTTGAAGACCTGGTCTGAATTTACAAAGTTGTTCAGTCTAATTGCACATTAGAATCACCCCAGGTTGGGGGAGGGTGTTAATTGATCTCTGAAAACACCCACAACACACAGATATGTACCATATATATATATATGTGTATATATATACATGGCATTTAGTCCCATCACTTCAAATAAATGGAGAAACAATGGAAATAGTGACAGACTTTATTTTCTTGGGCTGCAAAATCACTGCATATGGTGACTGCAGCCATGAAATTAAAAGATGTTTTCTCCTTAGAAGAAAAGCTATGACCAACCTAGATAGCATATTAAAAAGCAGAGACATTACTTTGTCAAGAAAGGTCTGTCTAGTCAAAGCTATGGTTTTTCCAGTAGTCATGTATGGATGTGAGATTTGGACTGTGAAGAAAGCTGAGAACCAAAAAAATTGATGCCTTTGAACTGTGGTGTTGGAAAAGNCCAGACACAACTGAGTGACTGAATTGAGATATATATACACCACATATATACGTGTGTTTTAAAATAGTGATTCAGATTTGCAATAAGGGTTAAGAGCCAATGAAAATTCAGTAAGGTGTAAATTCTTGTTGTTCAGTCACTCAGTCGTGTCTGACTCTTTGCAACCCCATGGACTGTAGCACACCAGGATTTCCTGTCCTTCACCATCTCTCAGAGCTTGCTCAAACTCATGCCCATTGAGTCGGTGATGCCATCCAACCATCTCATCCTCTGTTGTCCCCTTCTCCTCCTGCCTTCAATCTTTCCTAGCATCAGGGTCTTTTCTAATGAGCTGGCTCTTTGCATCAGGTGGCCAAAGGATTGGAGCTTCTTGGTGAAAATGCAAATCAGAGACCCTGGGCCAGGCCCCAGCAATCCGTGCCTTCTCAAGGCTCCCAGCTGACTCTCGCCTGCGCTTTGGTGGAGTCTGCAGAAGAGTAAAACAGGTACAACGAGAGATCCTGCCTTGGGCACTAGAGGGAGAAGGGAAGATGCCAAAAGGGGAACCTGCCAGAAGACAAACTTCTCTTCTGTACAGTTTGAAAAGTCTGACCTTTCCTCCCCACATGTGGACTTAATGATGTGTTCGTTCACCCCAGAGGGTCTTGAGCAGAGTTGATTCCGCTTCTCTCAGAAGTATTTGTGGGGAGATGGCAGCCGGTTGGAGAGAAAGGCCAGAGCCCCTCATCTTCCTGAAGCAGCTACAAAGAAAGATGTAGTTCAAGGCATGGCCAGAAGGTGGCTCCACACTCAGTCCCTCCCGTCAGACTTTCTGGGAGTCAGGAGTCTCAGAATCCAGAGAGATGCAGAGACTGTGGGGAGTGGGACTCCTGAGATCTGTGAGTTGGAAGACTAAGTTAACCAGAACTTATTTTTTTTTCATAGTTTTGAGGGGAAGGAAACACATACCACTTGCTGGGAGAGTTATGTGAGCGGAGGATGCCTCCGCATCCCCAGAGAGCTAAATGGAACCATATTGGGCCCTCCCCATGCCACTCAGCGGAGATGCTTTTCAAGGGAGTGAAATGTTTTATTGAAGAAACTCCAAGGAGGGAGGAAAGAAGCTCGGGAGAGGGGGAGCCTGACAGGTCAGCAGATGGAAACAGCCCCTTTCATACATGTGGCTAAAAGCTGGAAGTCCATCCCTCGGAAGGCACAGCAGCAGTCCACAGGTCCAGGACGCCTTTCATCTGCCTCTTTTCAGCTTTGGGCCGATAGGAACTGAGAAATTCACAGCCATCCTGTGAGAAATAGAAATGGAGGCCCACTTTTAGTCTCTACTCAGCTGATAGCAAGTGGGACAGAGCCCCTGGAGTCTGCAAACTTGGGCCTTCTATTTAATTTTGCCATGTCTGTAAAATAAGGATAGAAGAAATCTTTTTTCCTGAGTGGCTGTGAAGATTGAAGGAAATTATATATGGGAACTGTCTGGCATGTAACAGGTACTCAACAAATGCCTCTTCCATGCTCCTTTCTCCCAGGAGTGCTCAACACCTGTGTGGTCCAAATATCATGGACTAGTCATTTATTCCTTAGGTCAATTTTCTCAAGAGAAAAAAACAAAAAAGGAAGTAATGAGACCCTCTTCTCCTGGGATGATAGGAAACCACAAATGTGAGCTCCCAATTAAATCAATGGATTATTAGTTAGCCGTAATATTTGCTAACTAATATTATAGTTATAATAGCAAATATTATATGACATATTTGCTCCTCTACACTTTCCAACCCCTGCAGTTATGTGGGACCATGAGACCAACTCTAGCAGTGATATGTGAGCAGATATGATATATGTCAATCCCAGCTCAGGGGGCAAAAGGCCATGTGTGGTTCTTTAGCCTCTCTCTTCTCTTGCCAAGGTGCAGAGGAGGACTCATGTGCTAAATGCTGAAGTTACAAGACGATGCAACCTCATCAGTTTGGGTCTCTGGGTGACAAAGTAGAACACAGCCCCTGAACAACACTTAAATTTGACATGTAGTATAAATGAGAAATAAACTTTTGCTTTGGTCTTAAGTCACTGAGATCTGGAAATTGTTACTGTGACATAACCAGTTCTAGCCTGATTTCCAAGTCTCACACCTAGCCTAATGTCAACACACCACAGTTAATAAATTATTTTTTAACAAATCAAATAAACATCCCTATCCCGGACTGCTTCCCAGTGTTTTTCATGTTTATTCTTTCCAGTCTGAGGCTGGACAAATCCATCTCTCTGCATTGATCTCTCCTCTAGCACTCTAAAGGGACTTCCCTGGTGGCTCAGGCAGTAAAGCGTCTGCCTACAATTCAGGAGACCCGGGTTCAATCCCTGGGTTGGGAAGATCTCCTAGAAAAGGCAATGGCAACCCACTCCAGTATTCTTGCCTGGAAAATCCCACGGACAGAGGAGCCTGGTAAACTATAGTCCATGGGGTCACAAAGAGTTGGACACGACTGAGCGACTTCCCTTTCACTTTCACTTTCTAGTACTCTAAACCTCTGCTGGATAGCACCCTAGCTTTCCAGTCATTAAATCAAGAAATATAGGTATCAACCAAGATATCTCCAGTACCAGCCATTCCACTTCAATCCAATCACGAAATGCCTCTAAAAATATCTCCTAAGTATCCCTTCAGTCTCTTCATCAGCTCTAGGGCGAGTTCCCTAGTTATGGAGCTCATAATCTCTTGTCAGAACTTTGAATACTCTTTCGATTTCTTGCCATGCCCTCTACCCATCAAATTCAGCTTCCCTACTCTAGCCAGAATGAATAGCTACATCATAAACCTAACTCTGCGGAAGACCATTGATGGCCCTCTGTCATTTACAGGATGGAGCCTAAGCTCCTTGGCTTGTCTGAGAGACTTCCTGGCACAGATGAGTTGGATCTTATTGCACTTTCAGCCTCATGTCTTGTCTCTTCCACAGTCTTTGCATGGTAATATGACAAGATTACTTGTAGCTTCACCCACTTTATGTCGTTTCCTGCCTCCTCCCCCAACTCTGCCTGGCTGGATCCTATGAATTCCCAAAGATTCACCCAGACATCACCTCTACCAACTCTCACCTGACCCTCCTTATGTGTTTCCACATATTCAGGTTAGATTTTCATCACAGTGGTAGTGGCTCCTTTATATTCCATAGATGTGAAGATGAACACACTCTACCTTATGGGAAAGACAGACCCAAAGATCTTTCATTGACTCCTTCAGGACATGTTTCATTTGGACATCATTGGGTTCTATCTAGATCTCTGTCTTGTAGAGTCTCAGAATAATATATCTGAGCAGTGTTCAGTACATAAATGTCCTTCTTTCCAGCCTACCTTTCTTCCTAGTTTCCTTTTTTCCTTCCTTCTGTCCACCTCTTCTTTGTTTCTTTTGGCTTAGGGGTCAGAAAAACTGGGTTCAAACCCAAGCCCCATCACTTATTAGCTGTATGACCCTAGAAAAAGCCTCATAACTTCTCTGAGCCTTATTTTCCTCATTTGGAAAATGAGGCTAGTCATATTCCCCATAGAGATAGTCATCTCACTGGATTCTTTTAAGAATGAAATACATGGAGATACAAAATGGTTTCCCAAGAGGCTCAGTGGCAAAGAATCCTATTAGCAGTATAGGAGATGCAGGTTCGATCCCCGGGTTGGGAAGATCCACTGGAGGAGGAAATGGCAACCCACTCCAGCGTTCTTGCCTGGGAAATCCCATGGACAGAGGAGCCTGGTGGGCTACAGTCCATGGGGTCGCAAAGAGTCAGACACGACTGAGGACAAGCACAAACACAGATACAAACTATTTAGAATAATCCCTGATATAAAGTAAGCTCTCAAATTAATATTTGCTAATATTATTACTAACTTTCTTTGACTTGTTCAATGAACAAATAATAATCAACATTTAATAGCTGTTCCTAACCTAAGTTAAGCCGACTGGTGTTTTGGACTTGGGCCCAAACCCCCCATTCACTTGCCTGAATCCCTTGGTCTAGATGCTGCAACCAACATTCCAAACCAGAGTTTCAGTCCTTTGACTTAAGACTTGTTCCCCCTTAAAGCACAAATACCACATAAAGTCTTATCAATCATTTATAATGCCCTTATTGAAGTAGTCCTTAGACAACCGCAGCTGGAAATAATAATAAGTCATATTTGTACGGCACTTTACAATTTACAAAGCAATCTCACATACTCTTGTTCTTTTGATCCTCAGAATAGTGCTGTGGGGCAGGAGATGTGGGAGTGCTTAGGACTATTACCATTTTAGAGAGGAGAATACTGAGACTATCTGAGTCTGGGGGCCCAGGTTCCCACAGCTGGATGTGTGGGATAATATGAAAGATTATACAGAAGAAAGTGACCTTAAGGACGCTTCATTTCCACAGAGGAGGCAAGGAAAATGGAGAGTCATACTAAGCGAGGCTGGAAGGCAGAGTGACTAATAAGACAGATCTTCTTAAGATCACTGGCCCTTTTTTCTTTTTTTTCCCCCACATGCTTTCCTTTTATTATTTTTTTAATTTTAATTTTATTTTTCTGGGCTGAGCCACATGCATGGCATGAAGGATTTTAGTTCCCTGACCAGGGATCAGACCCATGCCTCATGCAGAACAAGAAGAAGAGGACATTATTTAGTACATGACTTCAGACAGTCCGTGTTCTGGCTTCAAATTCTAACTACATGGTCTTGGGCAAATCACTTACTCTTTTCACTTACTCTTTTAATCTGTTTTCTTTATATGTAAAATGAAAATAGTAAAACCTGCCTGAGAGACTCCTTTTAGAATTAAATAGATGCCCATGCAGTGCCTAAAACCTGATAATAAGGTACTATTATCATTATTTTATCATACTAATAGTAGTACCTTACCGTCAGAGAGTTTTCACATCCTTTAAAAAAATGTATATATCCTCACCAAAGCTCTGTGATGTATAGAAACTACAGGGTGAGTTTGATTATTCCTATAATACTGATTTCTTTAAAAACATTGACCAGTTTGGCCAAAGTCACAGTGAGAATAATTGGTTACTGCCTGAAGCAGGACTCCTAAACTGACACAATATTAGGACTAAAGGGGAGATGGGATCAACCAGTGATCCTCAATGAAAAGCATTTGGAAACATGAGGACATTTTGATTGTCCCAATGCCAGGAGGTCCAGCTGGCATCTAATGCCTGGCCCAGAGTGTTAAAAATACCCTAAGTGCAGGATAGGCCTGGCCCCAGATGCCAAAAGCTTCCCATTGAAAAACACTGGTATTTCTGCCTCAAAATCTAAGACCTAGAATGGTTAGATGACAAGTTTTCCTTGGCTTTCCCATGGGATATGATCAAAAACTGCTTTTACCCCTCTGCCTGGTGAATGTGGTCCCTGAACCCGTTGCCATGACTGCGGGAGGAAAAGGACCATCGGATTCCCCCAGCCTGTGATGCACAGTTGACCGTGTCTCCAAGAGCAGTTCCTGTTAACCTCCTAGACATAGGTCTCCCACCCAGAACCAGGTGGTGCCCCTAGCCCAGATGTGATGAGGACATAGAAGGAGCCTTCCAAATGCTTCCCAAGTAAGGAGGCATTTATCAAACCTAGTCAGACTTCCCAGGCCTAAGGCTCTGAAATCCTAAAGCTAAAGCGAGCTGAGAACTGGGAGTCTCAGAGCTTGAGCAGGGCTCCTGGCTGGCTGGGAGTGGTCAGCAGCTCCACCCCAGCCCGCTCTTGCTTGAGCAACACCAGGTGTGCAATTGGTGTTAAAGGCCAGCTAGAAGTGGCCTTTAAAAGTGTTTGTAGTCCAAAACCAACATCTTATAGGTAAAGAAAATAATAAAAAGGCAGCTATCATCTTTTATGATTCTATTACCTGTGGTCACAGACTAAGCAGTTGGCACCTACAGCCCCATTTAACTGCCACGGCAACTCTGTGAGGTGGGCGTTTGTACCCACTCACCCTCAGGAAGGTGGAAGTACTGCGCATCAGTGTTAAGTGTTAGTCTCTCTGCCCTGTCAGACTCTTTGTGACCCCCATGGTCAGTAGCCCACCAGACTTCTCTGTCCAGCGAATTCTCCAGGCAAGTACACTGGAGTGGGCAACCATTCCCTTCTCCAGGAGATCTTCCGGACCAGAGGGAGGGATCCAACCCGGATCTCTGGCATTACAGGCGGATTCTTCGCCTTCCGAGCCACAGGGAAGCCCATCAGTAAATCTACTCAAATCCCAAAGAGAGTGAAAGTCTCTAGTCCTCAGTCGTGTCGGACTCTTTGCAGCCCCATGGACTATAGCCCACCAGGCTCCTCTGTCCAGGGGGATTTTCCAGGCAAGAATACTGGAGTGGGTTGCCATTCCCTTCTCCAGGGAATCTTCCCGACCCAAGGATTGAATGTAGGTCTCCTGCATTGGCTGGCAAATTCTTAACGGTCTGAGCCACTAGGGAAATCCCAAAGAAGCAAGCGGCAAAGGTGGGATTTGAATCAAGATCTCTTCAGATTCCGCAGCCACTTTATGGTATTTGAAAGACCCCAAACACGGGAAACAGTTTCCTAAGCGGAGGGGTGGGGCGGGGGCTAGTGCCCCAACTTCTCACTCCGGTTTCAGTGTGTTTTCGGCCAAGCTGAGCTGAGTCCGGCCGGGGATGTCCAGGCAGGACAGATGGGCGTGAGACGCCTCCCTGCCTCCCGCGGCCTTGCGAGGATGTCGCCCGGAACTTTCCCCCACGGCTTCCATCCCTCCCAGCCGTAGCTGCACTGAGGACGTGACAGGAATATTAAAACCCCGGACAACGGGCAGGGGGAAACCGACCTCCAGTGAATCGAGGCCGGGAAGATGACAAGCCTCCTGACTGATAGATACGCGGAGACCTCGCTGGTGATTTATTGGCTTTCTGCACCTGACGAGAACCACTAGGCCTATCTGAGGAGGGAAATATATGGGCTCTCCTGACTCCAAGTGGCAGCCGCGGGCGGAGCATGTGATCTCAAGCTGGGCAGGGAGAGAGGAGCCGTGCACCGGCCTGTGTTTTGTAAGCGGGCCCGGGTCATAAAAATGTCAGCACGCGATATATTTCTCGCGGGGGATCCTCTCTGGGCTCTTGCCAGCGCCTTCTCTCCCGTGGCTGGCAGCCTGAGCCGGGTGAGGGTGTCGCCAGCCGCCTTAGCCCGGGCTTTATTCCTCCGGGTGCCCAGCGATCCTGAAGGCTGGGGGGGCGTCCGTTTGCAGCATACCCCACCGTCCGCTTCTCCCAGTTCGAGGCTGGGATGGGGTCTGGCGGCGGCCGCTGGGCGCTCTGGTTCTCACGCCGGCCTGAAATCTCTCATCATTAAGTCTGGCGCTGGGAACGTAAGACCTCAGAGATGCGTGGGCGTTCTGGCCCTATGACACTGTTAGATGAAGGAGCAAAAGTGACTAATTCCCCTGGATCTGCTCCCTCGTCTCTAAAATGGGAATGATGAAAACACGCGCTGAGTATGGTGGGGCAATGATTTATTTAGGAGGTCAAGTTTCCGACCCAGCTCTGAAGGATGATATTACTAGGAAGACGCCAGGAAAGGGGGCAAGACGACAGTGTGGGTAAGACTGGACCACAGAAAGTGAAGTTGCGACTGGGAGCCCAGGGTGTGGATTTGACTGTCACCCAATCACCCGTCTCCCCATTTGCCACAGTGTTCTATTAGTGAGTGTAGCAGGGCTTCTCTAAGGCAGAGATAAAATCTACTTTCTCATTTCTGAAAGTAAAGACTCCAGGTCATCTAGGGCATTTAGTTTTTCTTGGGGGAGGGGGAAGCTGAAGGTCTTCCTTGGTTATGTAAACCTGGAGGCCCACCACGTTCTGGCCTTGAGAGATAAGAGAACTTCCTGTTACTGTGGTGAGGCTGCAAGTCCTTTCACCCACTGGCATACCAATCCAATCTCTGAAGTGGTGTGGTATCCACTTGTAAAAGGAACTTGAGAACCTTCTGGGAGAGAAGATGCTAAGGCTGCTAACTCCTGCTTCCCAAGATTTGAAAACAGGAAGACCTGAGAGGGGCACCGGGCTGCCCCCAACTAAAGTCCGGGGACAGAGAGACGCACTTGGGCTGCAGAAATAACTTAAGAAAAAGGGAAGCCTGCTCGATGCAATAGCTTAAAGAATTGTAGAGGAGGTCTGGTGCTGACACAGCATGGTGTGGCTGATGCTAGAAGCTCCTCTAGAATCAACTGTTTGTCACGGCAACTGCATGTGTGGGGAAGATATCTGAACACGAGGATGTGAACCCCAAGTCTCTATAATCAGGAAATACACATGGGGGAATACCACTAGCCTAACCCAAGTTAACTTCTAAGCTTGGAGAATCGTCCTAAGCAACAAGGTGAACAGCAGTAGTCAAGTAATCAGACTCTAGGTCTTCTGTCTTTAAACTGTAAATCCTCAGCATTCTCAGACAACTCGGGCCGAGGAGGGGAGCAAAGAAAAGGACCTTGGATTTTACTGTTCACAGAGCAGGTGGGAGGGGCTGGTAAAACAAAAGATATTAAACTTCATTTGGACCCCAAGTTGGTGAAAAACTTTTTATGATTTTGATGAATTCCAGTATTTTTTTTAAATATTAATTTATTTGACTGCATCAAGCCTTAGCTGTGGTGTCCAGGGTCTTTGATCTTTGTTGTGGCATGCCAAATCTTAGGTGTGGCATGTGGGATCTAGTTCCCTGACCAGGGATCAAACCTGGGCCCTCTGCATTGAGAGCATGGGGTCTTAGCCACTGGACCACCAATGGCTGGACCACCAATGGCTACATTATGGGTGGGACGTCCCGCCAATGCTTTTATCACTAATTGTTGTGTCTTCGGTTAGGAAACAGGCTTCATGAATTCTCAGTCCATGATACTCAAGGAATACTTGTCTCTGCTTTTTTCCTAGACCTCCATTTTGCCCTCAATTATAGAGAAGGGATAACTCTAAATTGTGTTTGGAACAATTTTTTTGAATGTATCAATTGACAACATGCTTTGTTCTTATCACTCATCTTCTCTTTTTTTATCTCCTGTCTTGGTCTTGGGAAAAGTACTTTATCGGTAAATGTTCTGCTGAATGACCTCACATAGGTATTTGATGAAGAGAGGAAATGACTGAAGCAGATGAAGCCACAACAGTGAAAGTTCTGAAATGAAATAGGTGTGCACAAAATCAGCCCACAGCGCTCCCCACATGACCCCCTGGGGTGGATCTGCCGTCCCTCCCCACACCCAACCTCACTACCTGTCCACTCACAAGCAGGGACCAGCACCATCCCCCAGGGTCCCCTCTTGTGGATATTAGAGAAGAGGCCCTTTCCCAGAGGGCCCAGGTCACTGAGACTCATTATTTAGAACGCAGACTGAATTTCAGCCCACAGCTTCCCTCTGCTGAGGGCTCCTTTCTACAGGGATCAACCTGCACAACTGCGAGGGAGACCCAGCCCTCAAGTTGCTCTTCTGTGACTGGCCTGCCCCTTCCTGGCCTCCCTTAGGGCTCCTGGTGGACATCTGAAGCCCAGGCTCGTGGGAGTCCCAGCTCCTCCGTTTTTTAATCTCTGATATGGGGCACTGAGCGTACCTGAGGTACTCTCCCCTTTCATAAAACAGGCATAGGGTGGCCTCTCTCTCTGGTTCCTGTGAGGGAAATATAGTTCCCACTGAGAGATAATCTAGATGTTCTAGGCCCACCCCCTCATGTTTCTAATGACAATCTCATTTTACAAAATTGATGGTGAGGAGATAATTCCAAACCTTTGAGCTGGAAGGGGCTTTAAGCGCAAGAGAGGGATGGCTGGATGCCGGGTAGTCAGGCCTTGCCAATGGCAGGGCTTCTCTGCAAGTGCCCCCCAGAGCCCTGGTGTCGCCTCGCATACCCCTGCCCCGGGTTTCACCGCAGCATCCGCCCCTCCACTGCAGGGCCAGGCCAGCAGTCCCCACGGAGAGCCTCTGAAGCAAGGCGTGGACCTTGTTCCTCCCCAGTGCCCCAGGAGCCAGCACTCAGATAGGTTCTGTCACCAAGCAGGCCCTCATTAATGTGTGCTGGGCTGGGCTGAGCAGATCTGGAGGCCTGGGGACTATCAGTGTCCCCTCACAGCCCTCCATTCCACTGCAGATCCCACTGGCAGCTTGAAAATCTTCCCAGAAGGTTTAGATGTTGTCTCTTCTTTGACATTCATGAATTGTGTGAACACTGCCACCCTCCTCCCCTTTGTCCATCCCACCCTTCCTGGACCACGGCCTGTACAGTCCAAGAGGACAGCGATCCAGGAGAAGGTGCCAAGGCACACACGGTTCTAGCAAGTTCTTGGACACTCTGAAACTCTGACTGAGCATCTCAAAAAGAATGGAAAAAGATCTAGGGGCCAGAGAGGTGTCTGGGAATGGCCTCATGTGTCATCTGAGGACACAGGTGTCTGGAAGCATGGCCTGGGAGAGCCTTCACAAGCCCGGCTGTGAGGATCATCCCATGGCTGCCTTGTGAGCCCAACTTTCCAGGGCACCGAGCTTCCCCACAAAAAGCAAAGTTGAGAGTAGGCCTTTTGACATGTGAGCCTTTAAGTAAGGCTGACTTGGGTTAGCCAGACTGACAGTGTTGTGACCCTGTAGAAGAACCTGAACAACTGTGACCTTTGTTCCTCATCTATTCACCTGCCCCAGAGGCCCAAAAGGACCACATATACCTGTTATTTACCCAGATGCTAATAAAACTGAGTATTTAACTTTACTGCAAGGATAGTTTTGTTGTTGTTGCTTAGTTGCTAAATCACATCTCCCTCTTTCATGACCCTGTGGCCTATAGCCCACCAGGCTTCTCTGTCCATGGGATTTTCCCAGCAGGAACACAGGAGTGGGTTGCCATTTCCTCCTCCAGGGGATTTTCCCAATCCAGAGATCAAACTCACATGTCTTATGTCTGCTGCGTTGGCAGGCAGATTCTCTACTGAGCCGCCAAGGACGCCCTAAGGATAGTTCTAGATGATCACAATACCTGAACAAAAGGACTTCCTAATGAGGAGGCCAGTTTGTGGTTTGGGTCTTGGGGAAGAAACCAGGAAAGCTGACCATACTTCCTCTTTGACAACTGATTCTCTACATGGAAATAGCAGATATTTTTCTATAAAGAGCCAGATCGTAAATATTTTAGAGCCTGTAGGTCACACAGTCTCTGTCTCAACTACTCAACTCAGTTGGGATAGTGTAAAAGCAGCCGTCAATGGTACAACAGTAAATGGATGCGGCCTGTTCCAATAAGGCTAATTACCAAAATAGGCAGCAGGCCTGATTTGGCCCAAGGGCAATAGTTTACAGACCTCTGCTTTGTACCATCCGCGTCTCTGAGTATAAAAACAGACATCCTGAAATATTTCCTTTGGCTGAGTCTGGCTGCAACTCCACACCCACCCTTGTCCCTGTCCAACCCCAAGGTTATGCCTTAGGAAACAGCTGGGGGATAGACAGGACCAGTGCGGTCCACCTCTAGCACAGTACCTGGCGCATACTTGACACCTAATTTATTTTCTTAATAAGTAGTCATTTAATTAGTTGGTTGATTTCTGGGAATGTGAGTTTGCTGTTTGGTTATCCCAGACTACTCTTGGTCTCCAGGTCAGTCACCAGCTTCAACGTCCAAGCCCACAATCAACACTTTTTTTAGCCAAAATCAGTAGTGAGAACAGTTATCTGGGACCATTATCTGATATATATCCTAAAGGAAATTAACTCTGAATATTCACTGAACGGACTGAGGCTAAAGCTGAAGCTCCAATACTTTGGCTACCTGATGCAAAGAGCCGACTCATTGGAAAGGACCCTGATGCTGGGAAGGATTGAAGGCAAAAGGAGAAGAGGGGTGACAGAGGATGAGATGGTTAGATAGCATCACCAGCTCCATGGACATGATTCTGAACAAACTCCAGGAAATAGTGAAGGACAGGGAAGCCTGGTGTGCTGCAGTCCATGGGGTCGCAGAGTCAGACACGACTTCGTGACTGAACAACAATGACAACATATTATCTGATCAATTCAAATGGTTAACCCCAACTGCTTTGGGGACCATGTGCTTCAGCTGGGTTCCCTGAGTCTCCTGTCATGAACCTCTCCTGTAACAAGCCCTCTCCCATTCCCAGGAGTCAGTGGTGTTTGGGGAATCCGTGACCTTGTGACGCTGATGGTTTCTAAAACAGACAGAGGGTCTGCCTGCACCTGAGCATCTTAGGACATCTTATTTCTTTTTTTTGCCTCCTATGGTCAATCCTGCAACAGCTATATTCTTGGTGCCTGAGCCAGGTTTGGAACTGAGCAGAAAAATCCACTGAACTGAAAGAAGAGGTACCTCACCGTCCCCCATGACTGCTGCATCACCTTTGCATGAAAAGCATGTCAAGCTTGAGGGCTGGTGGGGCAGGCAGATTTCTGGTTCTGCCAGAAATTTCCAACGTTACTTGCTATCATGACTTATCATCTGTGACTGGACATGTTCTACACACATGGGCGTGCCGTACACATTAATACATGCTTCCTGCATTAGGAGATTTCCCCAGATTGAGGACATTTTCCTGGTGCAGAAGTGAAGACTGGATTGAGGTATTCAGATGGACCCCAGCATCTTTGAATCTAGAGTAAATTTGGGATGCCGTCTCTCCTTTAGGGGGTCCATCTCTGTTCTGAAGAGCAGCAGCATTTATCACGAGGCCTCAGTCTGGTCCCCAAAAGACTAGAAGGAGAGCTTACTGTCCCAGCCAATCTTGTCCCTGAGCAACCCTGCCTTTCTCCTCCCCCTTCCACATGGGGGGAGGCTGTGGGCTGTAGCTCACAGCTCACCTGGAACGCCTCCGGTTGCTGAAGGGCTGGATGGAGACTCAGACAACCTGATGGATCATCTCATAAACAGAGCCTGCAGGAAGGAAAAGAAAATTATGCCAGCAGAATGCACTTATGAGAAATAGATATGTGCGGTGCAGGGAGAAATGCTTTGATATTAAAATTTTTTGTAACTTAAAAAGGCATGAAAAATGATACCGACCACTAACTAATCAACATTCCTTTGCGAATGCAGCTTCAGTTCCTAACCAAAAACACATCCCTGCTATTGTCTTGTCTGGATCCAGATGCAAACATGATTAATTAAGTTTTGGGTGAGGAGCGGGCGGGAGGGGGATGGTCAGGACGGATGGCCTTTGCTGAGGATCACTTTTACACACAGGAGAAAATCTCTGAGGATGAGTGCTTTGCTCCATGAGGCAGGGTTTCCATTCTGTGCAAGGTGTGGTAAGGGTTTGCGCCCAGGCCAGAGAGGCACTCCAGGCAGTAAGGAGAGACTCTTGGTCGAGTGCATTGCTACCTCTAAGCACAGCATAAAATGAAAGTGAAAGTGTTAGCCGCTCAGTAGCGTCCGACTCCTTGGGACCCCTGGACTGTAGCCCATCAGCTCCTCTGTCCATGGGATTCTCCAGGCAAGATTCCTGGAGTGGGTAGCCACTTTCTTCTCCGGGGGATCTTCCTGACCCAGGGATCGAACCAGGGTCTCCTGCATTGCGGGCAGATTCTTTACCATCTGAGCCACCAGGGGAGCCCCAGCACAGTATAGTAGAGTGGTAAACACAGGAGGCATCTTGGGAGACCTGCTCCCCACACCGCTAGCAGGTAGTTTGGGACCTTAAGCAAGCTGCTTACGTTTTTGCAGGGTTTTTTTTTGTTTTTGCTTTTTCGTAAAATGAAGGGTTGGATTCAACATTCCTTAAAGTCTCTTCCATGTCTGGCTCTTTATTCTAGTGCCTGAGGTCCTTCCCTCATAGAAGGTGATTATCGATTGACTCCCAAGTGTGGCAGCGACTGTCACCTTTGGGCCGAGCTGCCTGCTGATAGCGGACTTGGCGGTGCACCAGGTGGGCGTCTCTGATGCCCGGGGCCGGACTGCAGGGATCTGAGCTGCACATCAGGGGACAGGAGACTCGTTTTCCGATCACAGCTCTCCCGCATGGCGCCCAGTGACTGAGCAAGACACCTGATTGCTCTGCGGCCTCGGGTCTCCGTTTGAAAACAGAAACACCAAGTCCAACTTACCCTGGGGTGTCTTGAAGCCGAGCAGCGGTAGCCCGCAGTTCTGGGCTTATGCTAGCTGGTCGGAGAGGACAGTGACCTGAACGAGAGCCGTGTGTGCTCAGCAATCTGCTCCCTGGGTGGAGCTGTGGGTCATGTTCACATTAACTGAGTGGGTAAGAGGGCAGGGTCTGGATTGAGGCTGTCTACAGTCGGGTAAGGAAATGACAACCCACTGCAGTATTCTTGCCTAGAGAATTCTGTGGACAGAGGAGCCTGGTAGGCTACAAAGTGTCGGACATAGCTGAGAGACCAACACTCACAATCAGGTAAGCTCCTCCAGCAACTGAACCATCAGGCAAGATACACACCTCCTTTGGGCCCCATTGACCTCATCATCCATAAAGTGGGAGTCATAATCACAGAACCTACCTCATAGGATTGTTGTGAAAACTTTTTTAAAAATGCTTATAATCATGGTACTTTTGGCATTGCTAACTGTATTAGTATTATCGTCAAGGGCCCCTTTCCACCCAGGTGTCCCTTTAGCATGACCTCAGTTGTGTCTTTTCTCAGGGAAGAGTAAGTGAAGCTGCCCTGACCTTCAGCTACACAAAGCAGGGATATTCATTCATTCATTCAACAGCTATCACTGTGTACCCACAATGTGCCAGGCCTCCAGCTAGGCTGAGTCCTGGGCTCACCAGAAGAGCATATGGTGGATGCCTCCCCTTCTTGGTGAGCAGAAGCAGGTTCATGCACAGGTAAGAGTCTTATAAGGTCTGCTGGACCCCAGGGTGATACTGTGCTGTACCAAGTCACTAAACCATGTCTGACTCTTTGTGACCCCATGGACTATTGCCCACCGGGCTTCTCTGTCCATGACATTCTCTAGGCAGGAATACTGGAGTGGGTTGCCATGCCCTTCTCCAAGGGATCCTCCCAACTCAGGAATCGAACCCATGTCTCTTACGTCTCCTGCATTGGCAGGCGGGTTCTTTACCACTAGCACCAGGTATTGGTGCCTGGCAAAATAAAAAAGCCTCACATCAGACTTTAAACCCTACTGGGAGGATTCAAACCAGAGCCAAGGCTAGAGTTGAGTGAACTAGTTTCGATTTACTGCTTCCTTATAAAGCCACTACTATTCATCCCCTCTGGAAGTTAGCTGGGAATGACGAACGGTTTAGTCAGCCACACCCTCTCAAACCTTGTAGTGATAAATTGCCCAGTTCCAATTCTATAATTTTTCTCAATTCCAGAGGAAAGAAGATGGGTTTTACATGTGTTTGAGCTTGTCCCTGGGAGTATCTATGAAATATGCAGTATTCTTTTACCTAGTTGGGAAATCGCTAATCCATTTTCATGTTTTCAGAGGGAGTTTATTATTCCCATTTCCCAGATGGAGTAACTGAGAGCAGAGTTAGGAGATCACTTGCTCAGGGACTCAGAACAACAGAAAGAGTCCATGGTAGGGCTGAAAATGAGTTCTTATTTCCTACCTCACAATCCACTGCAACCCAGGAATGACCTTTCTGAGCCACGCTAGAAACATGAACATATGAAATGGAGAATTTAGACTACAATCCCTTGGACCTTGTCCAGGACACTAAAATGAGTGTCCTGCTCCTGTGAAACACATTCTAAGGATTATTTACTGTTCTGAATGTAATTTAAGATAAAGCGGATCTTCCAAAGAGGCCCCAGGTGAATCCCAGCCCCGTGGACAATGACTTTCAGTTCATGTCAGCAAAGGTTTAATCCCTGTGATGTGCAGGGCACTGCTCTACTGGAAATTTTAGAAAGGAATCAAAACGAGAAGGAACAGCATGAGGATAGCCCAAGAGATGAAATTTTGGCCCCGGCCTGTGCCTGAACTAGCATTGCACATGTGTGTCCTGTGCGGCAGCTGACCTCTTGGGAAGCCTGAGGGGCTGTTGTGCTACCTTCAGCAGCTGGTAGGAACTTTCTATCCTCATTTGAGAACAGTTCCTACTTCCCTCCAGTTTCAAGCCTCTCCTTATTTCAGGCTGCTTCTGCCCTTGGCCTTGGTGTTGATGTTCGTCCTGGCTTTCCCTGCTTTTTGTTCTCAAGGTCTTGGGTTTGGACTCACTCCTACCACCAACACACGCATACACACACACACACACATCACACACACATCACACACACACTCCTTCATCTGTGCCTTCATTTTCCTCCCTCACGGTCATGCCCTAGCATTGACCCTTTGTCTGGGTGCCCAGAACTGGGGACAGGAGGGGAAACCCTAAGCTCTGAAGTCATAGTCTTGATATGAGGGCACATCCATTATTACTAACGAGGTCTTAGAGGAGAACTGATTCATGGCTTCAAGGCAACTTCCTGCTTATCTCCCTGACTCAAGGTCCCACTGGTCTTTGAGCATCTCTGAGCTCCTCTGTGCTCCCCTGGGAGAGGTTGTGTTCCTAGAAGACTTAGGCCTGTGTCTGTATAGCTTCTGAACCTTCCAGACCCCGGGAAAGCCCAACTTCCTCTCATCAGCTAGAGATGATCAACTTCTCTGGACTCCATTTTCTTTTGACTAAATTAGCAATACTTTCTGCTTATGCATGTGCTGAGAATCAAGCAGTATGGAAAAGATGTTCCCACATTCACTTTGATACTCATAGCAACTCTGTGTGGCAAGCACATTCCCTGCTTTACGGATGAGAAAACTGGGTGATTCAGGGAGGTTAGGTGAAAACTCAAGTCACACAGCTACTGAGTGACACAATGACAGCTGAACAGAAGCCTAAGTAGGTCTCATCTAGGATTTGCATATCATTCAAAAGCAAGCATGACACTGTTGCTGTTTTCAATGAATTTATGACTTACTAGAGAGGACAAGAGAAGAACTGGTTGAGTTTCTCACAAAAAAAAACAGAAATGAAGAAAAATAATATTTGAAAACTGGCAGAAACTTTCCTATATTCTTTCTAGAAATAACTGTATAATAACTGTATTGGCTTTCTGATATCTCTTCTTGTAAGGGTACTAATTCCCACCCTCATGACCTTATCTAAAGCTGACTATCTCCCAAGGGCCCCATCTCCAAAGGTTACCACATGAAGGCTAGGGTTTCAACACATGGGTTTCAGAAGGATGCAATTAAGTTCATAGCAGATATATAAAATTATTTTGTCAAATATCTGAACACAGATAAGTGTCTCTAAATTTCTTTAAGAGATTGCTATTATTATTGAAACCCTATTTGATTTAAACACCAGAAATTCATAAACTCTTTTTGTAAATTACCTATTTGTGTTGGCTTCATTACACACCAGCTTTTGTTTCAGCATCTTTAGTCACGAGTAATCTTATCAGGCTATCTGGTAACTTTTCTCTTCCCATTTTCCTTGTATGACTTTCAATAGTAAGATAATTTAGTTGTATGGAAGACTGGGGAAAATCATAGTCAACTTTATAGATGTTAAACCACTTTCAAAACATAACCTGACAATTTTTGCAGCAAACTTGAGAGAAGGTATTGTGATTCTTGTTCCTAATTTGAAATGAGAAAACCCTGACTGAAGAAAATTTAGTGCTCAAGGTGACCAAGCAATGAAGAGGCAGTGTCTGGATTTCACCCAGGTCCTCTCATATCAAAGCCAATGCTCTTCTCTTTGCCTGCTCCATCTTGTCCAACTCTTGGTGACCCCATGGACTGTAGCCCACCAGGCTCCTCTGTCCATGGGATTCTCCAGGCAAGAATACTGGAGTGGGTTGCCATTTCTTCCTCTGGGGGATCTTCCTGACTCAGGGATCGAACCCATATCTCCTGCATTGGCAGGTAGATTCTTTACCACTGAGCCACCTGGGAAGCCCCTCTCCTTAATCCATAGATGTCTCTTTAGCACCCAAAAAAAAAAAAACTTCTTCTCACCAGGATTCCCTGATAGCTCAGTTGGTAAAGAATCTGCCTGCAATGCAGGAGATCCTGGTTCGATTCCTGGGTCGGGAAGATCCCTGGAGAAGGGATAGGCTACCCACTCCAGTATTCTTGGCTTCCCTTTGGCTCAGCTGGTAAAGAATCCACCTACAATTCGGGAGACCTGGGTTCAATCCCTGGGTTGGGAAAATCCCCTGGGAAAGGGAAAAGCTACCCACTCCAGTATTCTGGCCTGGAGAACTCCATGGACTCTATAGTCCATGGGGTCGAAAAGAGTTGGACACGACTGAGTGACTTTCACTTTCACCAGGATTGCTAGACAGCATGCTTTCTACTGGGGGTCTGAAAATGGAGAGGATCTGGCTCTTACTTCCTGCATGAAGTCTAGAAAGACTGCAGGCATGACACATTGTTGTGTATCAACAATGGAGTAAAACTGTGGCAAACCATAATGGAGCCAGAGGCTACCTTGAGTTTTCTGCATCCCTGAAGGGGTATGCATGACCATCTGAAAATCCCCAAGGCTCTTGAGTGAGATACAGAAGATAGCTTGGAGAGAGGAAACCCATGGGGCCTTGAGACCAGCACTAGGGAATGCCACATCAGAAGCCTGCCGCCCCTGAACGGGACTGCTGAAGTCCTGAAGAACCGCAGTTCCCTCTCAGAGGGTGGTTGTTGGGTGCGTGGGTATCTCAGATGGATGTGGGACAGGGTCCCTCTCATCAGAGCACTGAGAGAAACCAATACTGAGAGGTAGGTGCCCAGACCCCACCCCAGCCCTCAACACCACGTTGGCAAGTATGACAGCAGCCAGAGAAGGGGTGGATAGACCTTTCCCTTGTGGATCAAAGACCAAGCTGGGAGAAGATAAAAGAGAAGAAGGAAATCTCAACCATGACCCAGTTGTAACCCAGGATGGCTCAGAAATCACAAATATTTACATTAACTTTTCTCTAACAGTTTGATTGAGACACAAGAAAGAAAGTAAGGCTATAAATAGGAAAGATAGAAGTCGGGGTTTTGGGGGGTTTTTTTGCCCACCTGAGTCTGTTTTGTGAAGTGAATAGTTGTTAACATTAGCTATTGTCTATCATTATCTAGTGTCAATGTTATGCCAAGTACTTTATACATATCATCTCATTTAATCATAGCAACTTTATGATGTAAGTATTACCATTCCCACTACATAAAACCAGAGAGATTAAGTTACCTACCCAGCTCACCCTGCTAATCATCAGTTAGACCAGGATTTGTATCTGTATTGATGACTTGAAAACATACATTTTTGGGATTAGAGGGAAGAATTTATCAAGGGTAACATTTGTACCTTTGAATTTTAAATCATGTAACCATATTGTTAACCTTTATAATAGTGTTGCTGCTGCTAAGTCACTTCGTCATGTCTGACTCTTTGCAACCCCATGGACGGTAGCCCACCAGGCTCCTCAGTCCACGGGATTCTCCAGGCAAGAATACTGGAGTGGGTTGCCATGCCTTCCTCCAGAATTTGTAACAGTAAATATAATTAAAAAAACAAAAGCTATTGTTTTTCAATGATTTTTTAATTGAAGTATATAGTTGATTTACAAAATGTTGTGTTAATTTCTGGTGTACAGCTAAGTGATTTAGTTATTCACATGTACATTCTTTTTTTATATTCTTTTCCATTATGGTTTATCACAGGATATTGAATATAGTTCTCTGTGCTATACAGTAGGACCTGGTTGCATGCCTATTCTACATGTATAATAACTTACATCTGCTAACCCCAACCCTCCCCCAACCCCTCCCCCTTTGGCAACCACAAGTCTTTTCTCTGTGTCCATGTAAAGCTAATGTTTTTACAATGCCTTA